GGCGACAGAGTGAGACTCCATCTCAAAAAAAAAAAAAAAAAAAAAGACTTAAGACTTAACCCAGATCCTCCCTTCTCAGTGACGCCTCCCTGACCACCGTAGTGAAACTTGCAAGCTATACACACACCGCACCCTCCTCTCTGTATCCCCCCCGCACTAACACATGTCTAATTTATCTTACTTATTATACCTTTCATTTACTGGTCTGTCCTTGCACTAGAATGAGAATTCTATGGAGGCAGACAGCTTTGTCTATTTCGTTCATTGTGCATTCCAATGAAATTGCTGAGTGAATGAATCCATGAGGACACATTTGAGCGGGGATCTGAAAGTTGAAATGTTACCTGGGCAACAAGAATAGGGAAGGGCATTCCAGGCAGCAGGACCAGCACGAACAAAGGTTTGGGGGCATGAAGAAACATGAAATGTTCATGGACGGGCCAGAGGATGCCTGAAAAGCTGGGCCCCAGCCACCTGAAGCATTGGCTTGTCACTCCTAAATTACCCCTTGGTTAGGATGTGGAGCTTGCAGGGAGGCCAGAGGAATGAAGAATTGGCTTGAGTGCTGGGTGCTGAGGAGGCGCGAGTGACCTACAGCAGAGGGTCCAAGGAGTTTGGATGTGACACAAAAGCAGAGTCTCAGTGTCCTTATTGATAAATGTCATCTTTATCCCCAATGTTGGCCCTGGAGAAGGCACAGAATTTTATCAATGGCTGTCTCTATAAAAATGTTTTTTCAAAATTAGCTGAGTGTGGTGGCGTGAGGCTGTAGTCCCAGCTACTTGGGAGGCTGAGGTGGGAGGACAGCCTGAGCCCAGGAGGTCGAGGCTGCAGTGAGCTATGATCATGCCACCACACTCCGGCCTGGGCAACAGAGCGAGACCCTTAACCTAAGGAAAAAAAACATCCTACTAAGAGTTAGGCACTACGGAGGTAAGAGAGAAGTTAGGACTGTGGTTTGAGATAAGCCTGGGCAACATAGCAGGACCCCATCTCTGCACAGCAGGGCCCCATCTCTACACAGCAGGGCCCCATCTCTACACAGCAGGGCCCCATCTCTACACAACAAGGCCCCATCTCTACACAACAAGGCCCCATCTCTACACAGCAGGACCCCATCGCTACACAGCAGGACCCCATTTCTACAGAAATACCAAAAAAACAAAAGATCAACCATGCATGGTGGTGTGCACCTGTAGTCCCAGCTACTTGGGAGGCTTAGGTGAGAGGATGGCTTGAGCCCAGGAGGTGGAGGCTGCAGTGAGCTATGATTTCACCACTGCACTCCAGCCTAGGTGACAGAGCAAGACCCTGTCTCAAAAAATAATAATAATAATTCTACCAATGGCCATATTATTAATTCTCTCTGGGGGAGGGGAATGGAATTGGAATGAAATGCCAAGAATCAGTTATACTTAACTCCTAAAGACGGAGTCCAGGCGGGCACGGTGGCTCACGCCTGTAATCCCAGCACTTTGGGAGGCCGAGGCGGGTGGATCACGAGGTCAAGAGATCTAGACCATCCTGGTCAACACGGCGAAACCCCATCTCTACTAAAAATACAAAAAATTAGCTGGGCATGGTGGCGTGTGCCTGTAATCCCAGCTACTAAGGAGACTGAAGCAGGAGAATTGCCTGAACCCAGGAGGCGGAGGTTGCGGTGAGCCGAGATAGCGCCATTGCACTCCAGCCTGGGTAACAAGAGTGAAACTCCCTCCGTCAAAAAAAAAAAAAAAAAAAAATACGGAATCCATATTTCAGGGATCACGTATTCCTCTGAGGCCAGAATATTGGAATTCTCCTCAACGGGGCTGACTTAGTGAATGCAGAAGCCCGAGCTGCATTCAGGAGTAGCAGAGAGTACAGTGTTGGTTTCTAGGGCTTGAGAATGCCACATACCTAACCTTGCTGGCTGCAGGTCCCCGCAAAGAACCATCGCTTAGATGGGATAACACTGAAACCACGAAGTTACTGTCCATGGCCAGGTGCGGTGGCTCACGCCTGTAATCCCAGCACTTTGGGAGGCGGATAGATCACTTGAGGCCAGGAGTTCAAAGCTGGCCTGGCCAACATGGTAAAACCCCATCGCTACTGAAAATACAAAAATTAGCTAGGCATGGTGGTAAATGCCTGTAATCCTAGCTACTTGGGAGGCTAAGGCAGGAGAATGGCTTGAATCCGGGAGATGGAGGTTGCGGTGAGCCAAGATCACGCCTGCACTCCAGCCTGGATGAGAGTGAGATTCCGTCTCAAAAAACAAAACAAAAAAAAGCAAGAACAAAAAAGGAGACACTGTCTGGGGCCACAGAGCTCTTTCCCCGCTGCCTCTCTGCAGGCTCCACATCCTAACTAAGGGATGAGTTATGGATGACAAGCCAATGCTTATAGTTACTGGGGTCCAGATTTTCAGGCATCCTTTACTGCCATTTATCAATGCTATCTGTGGGTGCTTATTTAATGCCTGCAGCAATCTTATGCGCTAAGATCATTATGCCCATTTTACAGAGGAGGAAATTGAGGCTTTGAAAGCTGAAGCAAATTGCCTGAAGGTCTCAGAGCCTCTAGGTGGAGATAGACAATCTTGTTTTTGTGGGGCCAGCATCCATTCCTGTTCTGCGTACAACACTTTGATTCTCCTCTGGGAAACTGCCTTTTGTCCACTCTTGGTCCATGTGGCATGGCTGGAAATAACACTCCCAGCTCTGTGAGGGAAAGCACGTGCCGCAGGCCCGGCCAGTGCATCCCATCTCCCCGGCCACGTGATGGTTCAGGGCTAGGCATACTTCCCAAGCTGTGCCTCCCAAGGATCCTCCTGAGAAAGTCCTTAACTCTCCTCTACAATTATTAGCTGACATGAGCCAGGGCTACTAGGGAAGGAAAGAAAAAGTCATTTCTTTTTTTTTTTTTTTTTTTGAGACGGAGTTTCGCTCTTGTTACCCAGGCTGGAGTGCAATGGCGCGATCTCGGCTCACCGCAACCTCCGCCTCCTGGGTTCAGGCAATTCTCCTGCCTCAGCCTCCTGAGTAGCTGGGATTACAAGCATGTGCCACCATGCCCAGCTAATTTTTTGTATTTTTAGTAGAGACGGGGTTTCACCATGTTGACCAGGATGGTCTCGATCTCTTGACCTCGTGATCCACCCGCCTCGGCCTCCCAAAGTGCTGGGATTACAGGCTTGAGCCACCGCACCCGGCCAGAAGAAGTCATTTCTTCACACACAAAAGAAGGAGTAATTTTACCAACTTCTTAGGTTCACCGTTACGAGCATTCTTATACGTTCCATGAAAAAATCTGCCCAAGATGCCAGGCACAGTGGCTCACACCTGTAATCCCAGCACTTTGGGAGGCTGAGGCGGGAGGATCGCCCGAGCTCAGGAGTTCGAGACCAGCCTGGGCAACATAGTAAGCCCCATTTCTACCAAAAAAAAAAGTTAGAAAAATCTGCCCAAGACTGATGACACCAACATAGAGACAGCAGAATGGAGGACACTGAGAGACAGGCCAGAAAGCAACTAGATCCTTTAATGGTGGTTAATCCGCCACATCCAGCCACGCCCGAAGCCAGCACTAACTTGAACCTTTTAGTCACTTGAGCGCATACATTCCTTTCTTTCCTCAGGCCAGTCTGAAGTGTGTGTGTGTGTGTGTGTGTGTGCACATGTGTGCATGTGCAAAAGAGAGAGAGATTTATACCTGAGTGAGTTCTGGGTAGCACAGTAGTAGAACAAATACTAGGTGAATCCAAAGTCCCTGGCATGTCTAAGGGCTCAGGGAAGCACTTCACAGAGGACTAAATGATACCTCAATG